CACAAAATAACTTAGATTTGGAAAATAAATCATTGCTTTATGATTAAAACAAATTATTCCAGATATTACTATATTTTAAAATTACCTTGATAACCAAGTTTTGAAAAGATGATAGAAAACAGAAAATACTGCCATGCACATAAAAACATTATGTCTCCTTCAGAGCACGCATGGAAACAAGATGACCCCTAAATAAATCATAATAACAATGTTCACACACTAAGCTTGTTATTAAACTTGCTTTTCCCAATTAAAAAAAAGAATATGGAATACATTCTTTAAATGACATAAAGCGCATAAAAAGAAAAATTAAACAATAGTAGAATAAAATAGGCCTGGTGGACTGTGGACTCCATATGTTGGAAACATCTATACTTTAGGCAAGGTGTTTCTGAATACAGACTATATAAAACGCTGACACAGGGCTGACACTAACCCAGAGGTCAAACAAGGAAGGTATCTTCTTTGGGACATAATAAGTCACGTATATCAATTTACTGTACATTGATGTATAGTTGTTATATATTAACTTATTGTAAATTATAATTTATATATACATAATATATATGCAGATAGAGAGAAGCAAAAATTAAAAAAAAACAACAATTTTAGTGTTCAATGCAGCAGTTTACTGCTTTGAATTCCTTGCAAGGATGTGGGGCAGGCAATCTTTGGAATTTTCTCATGGGTGGCACATTAGGAGGCAAATAACCAGGTGTAATCAAATTACCTTAAACTGACAAAGTGAACATAAGCCACTCCTGTCAGTTACCCCATTCCTCTCACTCAATATCTAAGTGTGAGTACACAGGGATTCAAGAGTCACTGCCAAACAGAGCCTGAAGAGCCTGGCCCAAATCCTTGAACAAACAATGGTGGGTTGCCCAGAAGTGCCCAAACACATTGGTCCTATCAGAGTTCCTTACTGAAAATGCAATCTAACACATACATAGTCAAATTCTTTGGCTTTTCCTGCCAACACCAAGTGACGTTTTCTTCCAGTTAAAATTCA